GGTGTTGCCAAATTATTTAACACGCGATCGTTCATGTCGGTTCATTTCCTTTGATGTTTTCTGTCTTTTATTTGCGCCTGATGTGTTTCGCTGCTGTGGAGCGGGGCACACCTTGTCCTCCGACGCACTGATCACTGATGCGGCTGCCAAGCAGGGAGCACTCCGCTGTTTTTGCGGTCGGATCTGCCTCCTGAGCAAGGCCACATTAACAATCAGGTGTTGCCAAATTATTTAACACGCGATCGTTCCTTTCCTTCAGTGCGTCAGAAGACAAGGTGATGTGCCCCGCTTCACAGCAGCGAAACACATCAGGCGCAAATAAAAGACAGAAAACATCAAAGGAAATGAACCGACATGAATGATCGCGTGTCAGTACCGACACACTGGCACAGCGCGTTGCCCCCCCCGAGCGCAGGAGCTTGTCACCTGCTGACAGCAGGCTGCTGTCTTTTTCGAGGGCTGCATCTTGCCGGTCATTATCACGTGACAGCGACTAGTCGACGACAGGCATAAAAAGTCACTATAGTGAAGTCGTCTAGTTCATACAACCCCTGCTACTGCTCCCCAGAGTGTTATTTGCGCCTGATGTGTTTTGCTAGCCTAGTGAACGAGACCAAATTCTTGCTTTGCAAAGTTTGGTCTAGGCATGCTCCATTGGAACCTCAGCAGCAGAGCCGTCAATGGAGCATGGCCAGACTAAATAATACATTTGTTTAGTCTGGCTTGCCAGGCTAGTGTTTCGCTGCTGGAGCGGGGCACACCTTGTCCTCCGATGCACTGATCACTGATGCGGCTGGCAAGCAGCGCGCACTCTGCTGTTTTTGTGGTCGGTAGATCTTTTAGAACTGCAGTTCAAAGGTAACTCATAAGGTGAATATATATGAACCCAGGTAGCAGTTTCTCTTTAGGATTGAGAGGAGATGCAGGAAGATAATAAACAGGCAGGACAGAAAAATAGTCAAATAAAAACAAGTTAGTTTTTGTAGTGGTTGCAACAAACAGACACCATTGAAGGTAATCAGAAGTGAGGAACAAAAAATGAAATAATTATTTTAATGTTTAGAGCAGCAGGAACTCTGAGAGGCTGCAGGCGCATCAGTGAGTTTGCGGCCGCTGCGCAGGGGGAGGGGGGAGAGGGCTGAAGCAGAAACTACCGTTGTTAAAAGAAATGTGTTTAACTTTGAAAATGTGGGCGCAATTTTAATTGTCAAAAACTCCAGCGAACCATTAGTTCATTTTGCTCAAATAGAAATAGATGCCTGCCTCTAATACTGGCCCTCCTTCCAATAAAGGCCCGGAGCTTGATGAGCTTGAGTCAAATACAGGCCCGGGCCTGTATTAGAGGATTTACGGTATGTTTTTAAGTTGTGAGCACAGATTATCAGATCATTTCTCATTTTTGGAAGCTGGTTCCACTGTTTGTGGAACTGATTGTCCAAAAGCGGAACGTTTTCTTGGAATGTCACAGTTAAGAGGACATTGATGTCCAATGTGCCTGTTCAAATCAAAGTGGAATGAATTTTTAAACTTCTAGATCTTTCAGAAATGTGTGTCCATCTTAATATTGAAAATCCTCTCATCTTCACATGTTCAACTACTAAAAACATGCTGCTGACATAAAATCCAATGTTTAAGTTTTCTCAACGTGTGATTTTCAATTAAACATCCAGTTTAAAGAATTGGCAAATAAGTGAATTTAGCGTGAGCCAACACAGTTTGTTGAATCGACCATGTGCTTATCACATAACTCTAACGCGTACTGAATTAATTGGTTTGTTATCACTTTGACCTTACAGTTGACTGAGTTAGCAAGTCTTTGAAATCTCATTCCTTTTCTGAAAGCCTCGTATGTGATGCTGCCTTGACTTTATATAGAAGTACCAACATCAGTGAGAATTTCAGTGATGAAGTCTGGAACCAGAAGGTTTTATTAGAGTTTAGACTCATGTGCATGCGGGCTGTTAATAATAGTTATTTTAAAATTATTAAACTTTTAATGTGAAAATATAATAAGTGTTTTTACACGTTGTACACTAGAAATTCATTAAGACGTCCAGATTGGCAGGTGATAATTGTTTATTTACAGCAGCTGAGCTACTTTTAATTGGTGCTTTTATTGGTTTGTTTTCTGTTGTGTGTGTTTAGATGTATTGTAGGTCAGTTCCTTTTGGCCCGTGTGATTAGGAAATAACTGCTAAACAGATATGAAAAGTGCCTGTTTGCTAATTGTCTTAAATGCACTGAAAGTCTGTTTCTGGCTTGTTGCTTCGTTACAAATCTACTGAATAAATGATAACTATCAAACACATTATGTCTAACCATAATCACTGGTTTCATTATTGACAACTTCATTCTTGCTAACATGAGGTATTTATTACTCTTTGTGACCAATTGAAGGCACAAAATTGCAAGAAATTATGTCTCACCTTTTTGTCTCTGAGGAAACCAAAAAGAATCGAAGGTTTTGAGATGGGTTCTTGGTGCACGCAGCGACAACGCCGTTAGTTTAAAAGAATATTTGTTGTGCAAATAGTGGTGACAATTTTTACTCAAAACATGATTCACGGATAAATCGACACAGAAAGGTGAAATCTTCGCCTATAAACCTGCTTTAAACGAGCTGCTGCTGTAACAAACCGGAGTCAACACAGTGTTTCTGATTCACCAACAGCTGACTCATTTCTCCCTTCTCAACTCGCTTTAGGTCGTGTCTCCTTTGAGAGAAAAGATTCGTGATCTTGAGCAAAGGTATTTATTTTTTTATATTCCCAGCTTGTCATATTTTTTTAAGCCTGTTCATCCTTTCTGAAAAAAATCTACATTGTGAATTATTTATTGAAATAACAGCAGTTTAACCTGCCCTGAAGATGAGAGCAGAGGCAGATTGTTGTGATTTTTATTGTTTATAACTAAAAGAGATGCAGCTTAACTTTTCCATGGCATCAAAACTTCTGTTTCTAAAGGTTGCAAAAGCATGTTTACATGAAATGCTGACAATAGAGGAATTGTTTTGGATTATCTTGAAGTGTTTTTTTTGTTTGTTTGTTTCATACCTCATTGTCCCTTAAGATGTCAACTCAGAATGTAATTATATAAAAGATTGTTTTAAATAGGATTGAAAATGTTTTACATGTGAAAATTCTTTGCAGATAAATGATCGACAGCACATCCCTCTAACCAGGAAAAAAATACTTTTATGTCTTTCACTTTTTGTGTAATCAGAACAGATTGTTTAGAAAAACTTTAGTGAATCTCAGCTTATTTGTAATTTTCTCTCTTTTGCTTTGTTCTCATTTACTTTCAAATTTGCTTAGTTTTTCACAGAAATACCCGCCGGTGAAATTTCTCTCTGAAAAGGATCGAAAGAGAATTTTGGTAAGTGGCAATTATCAAAGCATAGTAGCTCTTTGAATAACAATTTCTCTGAGCTCTTTATCATATACAAAGTCTAACAGATAATGTGCAGAAGCTCTCCTGTATTCCACACAAATTTAGTAAATAAACTGTAAACATATCGTGACTCACAGAATGTACTTGGAGAGGAGCAGTAGGAGGAAAACAGGGTTTGGTTTGGTTGCCATTAAATGAATGAAAAATTAAGTGTATTCATAAGGGAAGTGAATAGGACTGTAAGAAAATATCTATACACTGATAGTGAAGTGATTTTTACTAGCAATGTATTGATTTTATTTATTGAGAATTAGGGATGGGTACCGAATTCGGTACTTTTTATGGTACCGACCGAATTCCACAGTACCGACGGAGCACCGATTCACTTCATTTGAAACGGTGCCTCGTTTCGGTACCCGTCCTTCACAACGAGAACTTGCCTAGACAGCTGCGCATGCACAAGAGTGTTATGTCATTGGTCGCTGCGAGCGAGTTGTAAACAGAGCAGCATGGTAGAAAGAACGCACACTAAAGCTTGGGTCCACTTCACTAAATGTGATGGGTAACTGGGTGATGATGAAACCAGCGACAACGATCTAAGTGAGACATCCTCATCTTAATCTGCTCCGGTAGGTAAATAAAATGTTTAAGATAACGTTAGCTTGATTTGTTAGCTTCCGTTTCACTAATGGTGCGTTCGCTTTCTCCTCGGAACTTCGAAATTTCGACTAGAACATGAACGCGCTCTAAAGTTTGGCTTCACTTTACTAAATGCGACGGGTGATTGGGTGAAGATGAAACCAGTGACAATGATTTAAGTGTGAGGCATCATCATTGAAATCTGCTCCAGCAGTTAAATAAACTGTTTAAGATAACATAGCTTGATATGTTAGCTTCCTATGCCACCATTGTTATCATCTAATGGTGCGTTCGCTTTCTCCTCGGAAATTCTAACTTCCCAGTAGGAAAAATCAAATGAAAAAAGACGGTAAAAGAAATGAAGATACACAGTAAATTTAGTTCACAGTAAAGATGTTTGCTTCAGTTTAATTATAAGCTTATAAAACTACAAGAACGATGTTAAAATACAAACAGTTGAATGTTATTTATCGTGATATTTATCAAATATGGTTATATATTGAGAAAAATATATATTTAATTATAAAAGAGAATAAAAAATTTTAAACACTCAAAAGTATCGAAAATTGGTACCGTTAAGTACCGGTATCGATTCGTAGGTACCGGGAATTAGTACCGGATCAATTCAAATGTCAAAGGTACCCATCCCTATTGAGAATTTACAGACAAACATTTGCTGTATTTATTTTGTGCGGCGCAATTCAAACTCCAACTGCTAGGTGGCAGCAGTTTTTAAAGGCTTCTTTCTAACGGAACAATGAGATCTCGCGAGAACACTGGATGTGTCGTGGAAGCATCTGACCTGAGTTTTCCAAATTAAATGTGTGTGTGTGTGTGTGTGTGTGTGTGTATGTATATATATATATATATATATATATATATATATATATATATATATATATAATTTTGTTTGTTTTTGTTTTATTTACTGTATTTTTTTCTCACTTCACAGCTTTTTTATACTTTCAAATTAATTGAGCACATTAATTCAAGTTACAAAATATGTTTTACGCCACTGTCCTACTCATTTAAAACTAAACACATGCCCAGCACCATTTTGCAGGAAATCCACAGGGAAAACATAAATATTGAAAGTAAACACAGGCAGTCAGTTTCACACATCGACATAAATATAGGTTTCACATTGTAAACGGAATTAGCTGTGATGGCAAACTGGAGAGATGCAGGGTTCCTGGAGTTTTTGCCCTTAAAGAGTTTTTGTGTTTTTTCCCTGGTGATAGGGGACAGTACACACCTAAATCATTGTAAGCATGCAGTATTTTGTGTTCGAGTAAGATCTTACCAACAAATTGTCATAAGGGTCAAAAATCCCTGGGAGCGCAATTTTTGAACAAGTAATTTGTCAGATCGTTCAACCTCCAGCAAAATAACAAACACATATAATGATCTTTCATTACTGGCAACGAGCGAAGAGGCAAATGTGTAAAACGACATTTATGAATGGTGAAAGTTTTGTAACAGTTTGTTGCAAAACCAGTAAATGCTTTTTGTCCTCATGGACTACCGTAGAATGAAAAATGGCATCTAATATGGCATCGCCCAGAGACTTAGACCCGCTCCCATGTATTTTAGACCCAATTTTTATGGTTGTATGTTAAGAAGCCGCCAATATTTTCAACAACTAGGCATCATTTAATTCATTTTTAACAACACTTCAATGGATATTTCCAGAGATTAAAGGTGAAAACGGCACATTGTCACTTTAAGAGCTGAAGCTCAGGTCACCAGACTGTTCACAGGGGTTGTGAATGAGCGCCACCTTTTGGAGCGGCTCCTGGAAAAGGAGCAATGCTACATATAATGCTACATTACCACCACAGGCTGAACACTTATGAATGACCAAAGATTTCCTGATTTGCAGCAAAGTGGCATCGTTGTTTAATAGACGAGGCTGGAGTTGTGGACGAGCTGTTTCTTCTTCCATCTAAAGGTTTCATTAGCAAGATATCAGATAGTTTGCTCAACCTTTTGGAAAAACATTCAAGTTTACAAAACTCCAATTAAAACTTAATTTGTACATATCAAAAATGTTACCTTGTACCATTTAGTCCAAGAAGAAAAACCTAACCTGTTTTTTTTCCATCGCCCTTTTAGAAAGAAGAAAGCTCTGTGACATTTGCACAGATGTAGCTTTAAGCTGTAATAACATTCTTTGTGTTGCTGTCATTCGATTTTTTTTTCAAGGAAACAGGAGTTAGATGAATGTCACCTGCTGTCATCTAAAGTTTCTTTGTTCTTTATTTAAGAAATCAACCCTTATTGCTCAGTCCTTCAGATTCACAAGCTTAAACTAGTAAGTGATTCCATTCCTCGGTGCTCCACATTGGAAAAAGGAGCACAAATTATTACATTTAGCTCACCTAACACTAGAGTCCACTCCAGTTACCGTGGAAACCCCTAGTACAGGTGACTGTCTGATGTTATTGTCCGTGTTCGTTCCACTATTAGATCACTGGAGGGGCTGGCTTTGTGGGCTCCCATCTGACTGACAAGCTGATGATGGACGGCCACGAAGTGACGGTGGTCGACAACTTCTTCACTGGGAGGAAACGAAACGTGGAGCACTGGATCGGCCACGAGAATTTTGAACTCATTAACCATGATGTGGTGGAGCCTCTTTACATAGAAGGTAACAGGATTTAGAAAACCGGACATGTCTGCCCAATTTCATTTGTTTTTGGAATAATTATTCTAAATGCTCAAGTAGATGAATTAATGTTAGAAACTAATTTTAGCTTTTACATGAAGCACCAACAGGTGTTTTTGGTGTCCTCATGTAAACGGCATCGTAAGACCTTTGGGTTGGGAGAATTATTATCCTAAGTTTGAAAATATAGATTTTCTTAAATTAAATTTTATTTCGAAAAGAATGAAAGATCCAGGGTGTGTTTTATCCTTGTTGCCATGGTTTCGATCTGTTTTGATCAGACAGCAGGTTTATGACTTGTGTACTGAGAGTCTTTAAGGATGCCAAACAAGATAAACATAGAAACTCTGCTCTGACATTAGTGTTTGCACCCTATGTTTATCTTCCCCTGACAGCTTTCCGTTTTTCTCAGTGTAGACGAATCGCAGATTAATTTCCCAGCAGGCTTTTAAAGTATCTGATCCACCATGAACCGTTTACCAAAGCGACCATTGCATTTCTCATCTTTTGTTTGTTGTCTCTGCTGAACCACCTGTAAACACATCCCTGAGCTCTGCTGGAGAGAGTCGCAGGTGGAGTTGATGAACTGCTGTTTAAGCAGCAATGTCAGCGAGGATTGAAGGGACAGATAATGCCAAGCAGCTGAGGGAATTTTTACAGCTGTTGTGTTTTTTATGAGTGAATCACTCGGGTTGTGTACCTTGAACCACCTCACCGATGCTTGGGAGACCTTGGACTTCCTCATTACAATAATAACATGCATAGAAAGCATCACAGAAATGTGCTGTTTTATTGATGAAAGTGCCACTCAAGACGCTGATTTACATATAACATCCTTTATTTTTTCTCGGTTATAAATAACATCCATCTCTTTAGACATAGCCAACTTTAATTTTGTAGCATTATTTATGAATTGATGTTCCACTTCATACACATTTTATTTGTTTATGCCTTTGAAGGAGCCATATAATAGAAAATCCTCTTTTTGGACTTTTTACCATGTGATATTATTTCCTCATGGGAAAGAAAATAGTTTGTCGCTGCATTCATGCATTATCCTGTTTCAGCTAGTCTTGTCATCAGGCCCTGCGCCTCTCCTGGAAGCTAGTCTCTAGTCTGAAGCCTGCCTCCCCTGGCCAGCACAGGATAAGTGGCTTAGGCGACTGGTGTCACGTAGCAGACTTGATAGTCCAGTGGTTAAGAGTGCTGAGCTGCCATGTAGTTTTGCAGAGGTTCGCCTCCCGATCTCAGCAGTATTTTTTTTTCTTCTTTTTTAGCTACACTTGCCAGTATTATGTTTTCAACCTTTTGTTGGTAAACTGTTGAAAATATAGGGACTAATCTGTTTTTTGTACTTTCTTTGTTTATTTAGCCAGTGCAAGTCCATGTGAGTTGAGCAGATTAAATCAACTAAAATGCTGCTTGGAAATGACCACATTCAGAGATCTTTATTAGAGACACAAAATAGTTTGCAAAAAATAATAAATAAAACTAAAATATAACAACATAAATTCTGCTTCAGCTGGCTAGATATATTACTGCCCACACCACCAGTAGTTGAACCCTTGTTATGGGCTCGACACACGGGAGGCGACAAACGACTGCGATCAGCGAAATTTGTCGCTGTCGCTTTTATTACCTGACACACGGGTGGCGATCTGCGGCAGCGGCCAGCGGCAAAGCCGTCTACACGTTCTGTTCCATGGCGAAATCGAAACTTCCGTTGTTTGGCTGTGTCAGGTTGGAGGGAATTAAGGTTATTTAAGCGGTTCAGAGTTTTAAAAGCGGTAGATATGATGTTTCACAAGGTGCTGCTAGAGTTATGTGAAACCTTACTTCTGATTTTACTATATAAAACATAATAATAATCAACTTCTCCTTCATGTTTGCTCGGAGATGTACGGAGCATCCTGTCCGCTCATTGGTCAATGAATGAAACCTCCGTTGATTGGTCGTCGTCCAAGCGACGGCGATGAAAAGTTGAAAATGTTTCAACTTTCTGGGATCGCTTCGCTGGGTCGCTTGTGCACGACACGTGCACAAGCGCAAAATTTCACACGCACGTTTTTCGCATTTCGCTTAGTAGGAGGGAGACCCTCGATTATCACTTTGTCGCGCATGTCTCATTGAAAATGAATGGAGGAGAGGCGATGTTGCCTCCCGTGTGTCGAGCCCATAAGCGCATGGCCAAACCGAGTTGGCAGGCAGATGCCTTAACCTCTGGACTACCATAGCCAGTACAACAACAGACCTGCCCAAGATGCTGTTGTAGGCACATTTTGAAAAGGCAATAGCGTTTTATTTCTGGGTATAAATTCAGGCTGATGAAAATAACTGATATTTTGAAAAATGACGGTTTCAAATGGCACGCTATAAAACCTTTAACCCCCCCACTGTCCTAATGGGTGTGACCCCGCGAGGAAAGTTGACCATTGAGCAGGGTTGATGGTTTATCCTTTGGATCCATGTGGCAGGGGTGAGGAGTGAGCACCACCTCTACCCTGCCACGTGGACCTCAAGGGATAAACATCAATCCTGCTCAGTGGTCAACTTTCCTCGCAGGGTCACCCATCAGGACAGTGGGAGGGTTAACTAGATTTTTCATATTATGATACTGAATCGATATTTAGAAACAGTATATCCATAATTAATTTTTTTGAGAAATTAAAGGGAAGCACTTGTATTTCTTTAGTGCGGTGCAATTCAAACATCGACTGCTAGGTGGGGTCCATTTTTACTGCCTTCATTCTGACGGGAAAAGGTCTTGCAATAACACAGGATGCACCTTGGAAGGGTCTGGCTCTGGCTTGAGTTTTAAAAATAAATCCGGCCTTAAAGAAATTGCAAACATCATCTGGCTTTTAGTATCGTAATATATTGAGAATGTTTTTGTTTCCTTTAGTGAAACATAGATCCCTCCTATTTTTGTTGAGATGACTCATGACACTGTTTTTTGTGAGTTTTCCTTCAATAAAATTTAGTCTTAAAAATTGTAAATATCATCTGGCTTTTAGGATTGCAACCTACCGTATGTGTGTTATTTATCACACATGAAGTGTGATATATATATATATATATATATATATATATATATATATATATATATATATATATAGTATTGACAGAATCTTGCCAATACACACCCGTACCTTTAACAGAAGAAAAGCATGAATAAAATTCCTCATATTCTGCATTCATGTGCCTCTTTTTTGTTGAGTATTTAAGAAAGTAAAGCCAGACCTACAAAAATTACAAATATATTTTTCTTTTCCACGTGATTAAATTTGTATTTCAATTTTGATTTAGAGTCTAAATGACCCCAAAACCACATTTTTATTACTTCCTATTCCTACCTGTAGCAGCTTTTCTCTGGTTTAATGGCAATGCTGCGTTCTTCTTGCAGTTGATCCATTAATTAGAAAGTTGATGATGTTAATTAGCTTGTTTCATCATATGTTTTAAATTGTTTTTATTTCAATTAAAATTTATGAAATGTAATGAAATATCTTGTTCTAAAAAGACTTAAATTGATTTTAGTGAGATTAGAACTTCATAAGTTTTATTCCTCTAAATAGTATAATTTCTTCACCTGCTGATGAAAATCGGTTCCTAGCGGGAGTAAACTGTTTCTCCTCCTCCCTCCCAGTGGATCAGATCTATCACCTGGCTTCTCCAGCATCTCCTCCAAACTACATGTACAATCCCATCAAAACACTCAAGACCAACACCATCGGCACTCTCAACATGCTGGGTAAGTTATCGTCTTTCACTTTTTGAGACCCTTGAACTGATCAGCGGCACTTTAAAGTCCAATTCCATCTCTTCATTGAAAAAAGACTAGTTTAGATTCTATTGAGTCTTTATTTCAATAGCAACAAACACTCGAGTCTGAAAGGTTCATCGATTTACGGTGAAATGAGAAGTTGATCTCATCTTATTTACCTTTTCAAGTAAGAATCGTTTTCTGTTTACAGGCAAACTCCAGAAAAAACTTAGTCCTTGTACAAAAATGTCTCGCTGCCAAACGTTTAGAATGTTCCTTTTTATACTTTCAATTTCCTGTATTAAAAATATACAAATAAAATTTCATACTGGAGATAATTAAATCATATAAAACTCTCAAATATCTTTCTGTCAGAGGTTTTATTTTTAGCTAAGTTTACGATCGTACACAGAGTTAAGAGTCTGGCTATTATGTGCTCGCTGAACCTGACTGAAACCTGAGCATCAAAGTATTACAAAAACACACGTGGATCAATATTTAATATAATTCTTCCCACCTGCTGGAGCATGGAGTCGGGGTTATCTTAATCCTGTAGTTTCAAACTGTTCACATACAGATAAGGAGGATGGAAAGGATGAGACAGGAAATTTAGCTGAGAGGCGACCAAACCGAACGAACAAGAGGAGAGAGAACGAACTTACTGCAGAAAGGAAACGAAGAAGGCAACAAGCAGGCTAAGTAGTGGGACACACCGATGTCTTTAGCCTGAACTATTGTATTATTAACCAGACATGGATGGTTTTATAAAATAAAAGCACAGCTTATCTTTAACTCGGATTATATCAGTTCAGGTACAAGGGCTTAAATGGGCAATAGGAAATCGTTTTCTGGAGCATTTTGTGTCTTCTTGCTCGAGCTGCTCTTCACATACAAAACACAATCAATAAATTAATTATTTAGTCCAAAATAAATGATATTTTAATTACTTATGAACATTTGCACCTGTTACTCAGGAGCTTTTCCCAGATTTTGGGTGGTGCTGAGCTGCTGTGATAACCTGTTATTTGTATATTTGTTTTTTATATAAATACATTTTTGTCAAAACTAAGAAAAGTCCCCAAACAAGCTTGTGTGACCGGTCCCACGTTTCTTCATGTATTACTGTTAAATGTAGTTTGTTGAGCGCCGTCACAGTTGCTAGCTGACATTCATACGCTGATGTGTGGAGTAAATCTGAAGGATTCACAGCTGCTCACTTCCGGTCTTTAGCCTGGTTCCTACTTCTCCGTCAGCTCGGTTGCAGAGTTGCACACACGCACTGATGGATAGTTTTTCCTTTTGAACTTCGGACTTGTATCCTGTCACAACTGCAGTAACGCCTTTTGGTGTTTCCATGCCGACGCAGCTGGAGTAGAATAAATCAGGCTTTAGTGGACGAGGAATGGCCGGGCATTCATAGACTGGGTAGGACAGGTTCTCACAAAAACTTTACTCCTGAATTTAGACACAGGCTGAAGAAAGTAGGTGTCACTTTTTAATTGTTTTATGATTTCTTTGTTGTTTTTTTCTGCTTGATTGACCTTTCCAAGAACATCCACTCCACCTGCAAATGTTTTGTGAAAGATCAGATTTGAGTTGGTTGTTGTCCTTCCAGGACTTGCCAAACGTGTGGGTGCCAGACTTCTTCTGGCCTCAACTTCTGAGGTTTATGGAGGTAAGAAATACTCTGTCATTGCATCTTTATTATTTTTCCCTTTCTGCCTTTTCAATAAGTCTATTATCTCTAAAGAAATGCAGAATCTAAGACAGCAGAGCTTTATTTCCTCCTCTTGATCTCTGTAAATCAAATAATGTTTGCAGACAACTCATCACACTGTTGAAAGCTGGTTCTAGTCAAAGCTGCATCATATATCATTGGTTTCTGATGTAGTTGAATAAGTGTAACTCTAAAATCTGATCTCCAGTCAGTCTAAAGATGAAGCTTCTGACACTAATAGAAATGCTGCTGTCCTTCCTGTCATGACCCTGTGAGTTTTCCCCCTCCTTTAAAAAAAAAAACTTGCAACATTATCAGCTGTTCTTGAAAAACTAGACGAGTGATGCGACACGTGAGAATGCTAATTGGAGTTTTGCGGTTTTACTGTGAAAGCTGGCCGTGCTGTCAGCAGCCACATCACACCTGAGAGCTGCCTGATTGAACTCCTTCATGAATGCCACGTTTTCACACAGGAATGAAGCCAGCATTAGCTGCTCCATCAGACAGAATGTGATGGGCACTGGCATCATCACAGCCCTGTACAGCCAATAAGTTCATCTAACAAACACTCGCCTAGTTTTTTCTTTCTGGAGGTGATGCCGGCTGAGTAAATGGAACATTTCTAATCTGTGTAAACAGACTCCTGTGTAGATTGACAGCTTCCCGCTAGGAGTTGGACTGAAAAAGGCAGCAAAATTAGTATTTAATTGACCTTAGTTACTATTCCCTATTAAACACAATGCTATAAAATAATTAAAAAAAAAAATAAAGATGTCTATTTACATTTAATATAATCATCTTTGGAACCTCTGGGAAACACCCACCTGAAGAGCTAAACAGCAGCGTGACCCTCTACCCTCAAGCTTTTGAGTTTGACTCAGTCAAAAAATCGGAGAGCGGCGGACCGTTTGGACGCATTAATCACCACGCAGACAAAGTAGGTGCTTTTGCAGGGTTTTTCTGCAGCCAAAAACCTGGATGCACAGTGGCGTTCAAATACCTCCACAGCTTGTGTAGCGGTCATGAAACCATCAGTTAAACCAGCAATTCCCAGACTTTCTTCATGAGGATCCCCTTCCTGTGTCCAAGACAAGCCAGCCCCCCCAACCCCAACTCCTGTCCACTTACACACAATTAAAAGTGAGTAATTACAAACTTTATACAGACTAACAATTATGCCTCTTACAGAGCTTTGATTGTTTTACTGGGTGTATTATCTGAATTTTATATGTGCAATTTCTACAAATATATAAATATATTGTTATTTTTTCTTCCATTTACATGGTGATGTTGTTGTTGTTATTTACCATTCTGATCTAAGACTTTGATCAGGGTCAGTAGACAGAGGCAGCACGTCTCTTCATGCCCTCAGCTCTCTGTTGCACATTTATGTGTCGCCGTTAACGACACGGATCATCCCTGATCAAAGGCGACACCTCCTCCCAACGGCAAAGTCTTTCCCCTTCATTAACAAGATGAGCTCTTTTCTTGTTACCCATCATCACTTCTGTCTGGTCACCTGACGGCGTACCAGTAGGGAGTGGACCCACTCTTGCTCATCACCTGTTTATTTTTGGTTTAGGGTTATTTTTGAGTCACGAGAAGCTTAAAACTATCCGTATTCTTTCAGACCCTGAGGTACACCCCCAAAACGAGGAGTACTGGGGACACGTGAACCCGATCGGTCCTCGAGCGTGCTACGATGAAGGGAAACGTGTGGCGGAGACGATGTGCTATGCCTACATGAAACAGGTATCGTGTCCACCTCTTTTTATCGTCTGCGCCGTTCAGCTAAAAAAAAACCATTCCTGACGAGACAACACCTGGAAAAAAGTAGTCTATGCTTTACAACACAGATGGACTACTGTAGTTCCATCCTATTTGGAGTGACCAGAGCATCTAGTGCAAAATGCGGCAGCAAAATGTTTGGTGGGAAAGAAATGTGACCATGTTTCCCAGGTCTTGGAATCCTTGCACTTTGCTGCCTGTGGATTTCCAGATTAGTTTTTTGGTTTAAATTGTTAAATGGACTGGCTCCTGCATATTTGCAGACACTGATACATCCATGTACACTGGCACGGGCACTCCGCTCAGACAATAGTCTCCTTCTCACAGTTCCTAGGACTCGTTTAAAGACTAGAGGAGACGGGACTTTCTCTGTAGCAGGCCTGAAACACTGGAACGAGTTACCCTGTCACGTACGTGCTTCACCATCGGTGACAGTTTTTAAGGTCAGGGTAAAGACTTTTTTATTTGATCTGGCCTTTACCCGTGGCTGTTAGTCTGCTTGTATTTAAGTTTATTAGTGCAATTTGTTTGCAGTTTTTATTTTGTTTTTATTCTTGTTTTATTCCTTGTCCAGTATTACTGATACATGTCTGTACGGTGCTTTGGTGTCACCCCTGTGCCTGAAAGGCGCTTTAGAAATAAAGCTTGAGTTGGGTTGAGTTGGGTTTCATCTGTAGATGTGGAAGAAATATGCATTTATTAGGGATCAGGATTGGGCGATGGCACAAATTATTCGACCATCGACGATGGGCTGAGCCGCTACAATTGTTTTTTGCAAGAGGCCATTTGTTTATTTATTTGTTTGCCCATGAGTTTGTTTGATAATGACAGATATTTTACACATTAAGCACAAAGAACATTGCGATTTATCCAGAACAACATTTAAACATCCATGAGTCTGAGGCAAAAGTCCAGAACCTCATAACATCTTCAGCCAACTCTCTAGAGACATGTGATTACGCACACGCTGCAGGTGACCAGTCCTGGTTTACGCGGAGCAGAAGGAATGTGCGTTCGGGCCGCAGCAGGTGAAATGTTCCTAATTTAATTGAAAGAGTTTAATTTCATTGCTTATACATTACTGGGGCTCTGATCAGCTTCTTTGGACTAAATATTAATAAAAAAAAATGGAAATGGAATGAATATTTGTTATTTTAAAAACAAAAATGACTGTGATTAAGGGATCATGTGACCTCTGGCTGCGAGTGAATGCTCCCTCAGAGTGCATTCAAACGCAGCAGCGATTATCATCTTTTATTGGACTGACGATTGGCGGTGGGAAAATTATGCAAATCGCCCAATCCTAATAGGGATGTTCGATATTATCTGTGTAATATTAATATCAACCAATATTAGCATTAAAATGTAATATCGAAAAGTACTGGTCTCACTTTTCAGTCTTTAAATGACACAACTTTTACACACACACACACTTATTAAACATCAAATTCTTCAGCTACATTCAATTCAATTCAAGTTTATTTATATAGCACCAAATCACGACAAGAGTCGTCTCAAGGCACTTCACATAGTAAGTATTCCAATACAGGTCAGTTCATTAAGCAAGTCAGTAAAAAGTTTCCTATATAAGGAACCCAGCAAGGAATGGTCAGTGACTTGATGCAATCCTCATACTAAGCAAGCATTTCCCATCTCTCAAAATGTCAACACGTGACAGATCCGAGGTTTAGTTTTAGAGATATTTTAGTTAATTTGACAGAACTTGTGAAGTAGAAATGTTCCCTGTGTAGTGAACATTCGCTGTCCTCATAGCATGTAGAGACGTGCAGCTGCTAGCCGCTAACAAAGCACTAAAACATAAAACAAAAATCTTCACCCAAGGCTCGCTTTTCTTATCTGAAGGCTTTTATAAATGTTTCGTCAAATAAACAAAATAAGAATCCGCACACTTCAATAAACTCCTACATTGCAGATTGAAGTGTGCGAATTCTTATTTTGTTTATTCCACTTTTTGATCCAGCACCTTTCCCAGATGAGCGGTGACTCCTTCTACTCTATAAATGTTTCATCACCATAACTGCAATGCACAGAAGAAGATAAAATACATTTTTAACTATTAAACACATATTAGCTTCATGAAAAAGAGATTCAGCTGCTGTTGGAGACAAAATAAAGATGGCACTTTTCCCATTTAGAACTCAAATTGAAATTTAAGAAGGAAAACAATCTTGTAACACTTCCTTTTACAGTCCCATAATTACTAAGTACTTACATGTTAATTACATAGTAAGTTAAAGTGTATTACTGTGTAATTAAAGTGTATAATTGTAATAAAGTGTAATTATTGTGTAAATCAGTATTTACTGAGAATGATTAATAAAAGTAAAAACTAGAATTGAACCTAAGCTACATGATAATAACTGTTTAAGAACTCAAACAATAATACACATTAACTTACTATGTAATTACCATGTAAGTACTTAGTAATTAGTAGACTGTAAAATGAAGCGTTACTAACGAGCGCCTCTCAAGATAACATTCAGGAACTTCACATCTACAAAAAAATAATGATTACAAAAATAACAATCAAAAATATGCTCAAAATGAGAAAATTTCTATTAAAATTGTGATTAAAAACTAATAATGTAAGGAAAGGAAAGAGAAAATAATTAGGAAAGAGGGAAATCAGTGACTCGCGAGAAAGGTGGAAATAAGTAGAAAGAGCAGAATAAGGAAAGGGTGGTGACAAAGGTTGTGTATTGTAGGACATAGGTGATGTTAGTAACCAAAATTTTTTAAGTGTTTCTTTTTTTATGAGAGGGGGACACTGCATAGATTGATATCTGTTTATATCGATATCTGTTTATACCGATATCAGAAATTAAGGGTCAGCAATATCGGTATATCAGATATCGGTAAAGAAAAAAGCTAATATCAAGCATCCCTAGTATTTATGTGGTTGGGTTTGGGGGGGTTGATTAAAAATGAATATCTAAGTGTAAACTCTTAAGAACAGCCAAATGAGGGAATTGGGGGTTGACTTTAAAAGAAGAGTTTTGAGCGAAGGTCACGGCGGCTGGAGCCTCGGTGGTGATTGACAGCAGCCTTCAATGATCAGATCTGACCGACTCCTTTTGCCTTTCCTGCAGGCAGATGATATTTATTTATCTGCCTCATCTTCCGCTCTTCCTCAGGAGCTCATTATAGTTTTTCACACTTTCTGGGAAAATTCTCAGAAATAGCTGCCTAATAAAAAATCTAGCTGTTGATCGGGTGTGCGAAAGGACGAAAACATCTCGCATCAAATCTACCGCCTCGTCATTTCATCGACTATGGTTAACATTTTAAATGTGATGAGAGCTGGTTATGCAAGGGGTGAAAACAGAATAATGCAATTAGTGAAACAATAATTAGGATATTTTATTGACATGTGGAGGTTTTTTTCTTGAAAAAAAAAAACCCAACAGTTATGATTAATCGGTGCAGCTTAATTAGTTTTTGTGTTTGAGTAAATTTCTCATGACCGAAGACGAGTGAGTGTGTTTTTTCAGCAGGAGGCGGCTTCTGCAAACGTGTCTCCACTCTTGTTTTTGTGATCTAGTCTGATGAACTGAGGTCTAGCTCACACGTGTCTAGGATTAAGTCTGAACGTGGTGAACTGTTCCAAAACGTAGGGTTTCATTTTTTGTCTTTATTAATTTATTGTCAGAAATATTTTACTAGTACAGTCATTCTTATAAGAAGTTGATATTTATAAAAGCAGTTTTAGATAAAAAAAAATGGTTAGCTTTGTGAAACAAAGGTCCTAAAAACCTATTTTAACCTGTTTGTTCATAATAACAATAATAATCATAATAAGGAACTCAGTAGCGTTTAATCAGCTAGCATCTTCTCAGAAATGAGCTAACAGCTTTTTACCACTTGTGCTTGATTTGCAGTTGAAGTAACTTTACTCAATAAATGTTATATAAATGCTTTCTGGTTTTAGATCTTTGAACCGATGATGTAAAAGTAATCAGAGTTGATCTGTTTGTGGACAGTTACTTTGTTTGTATTCAAAAGATTGCTCTTAAATTCTGTTTAAGTAGGTCACCTGTAATTATGGATGCACATGTTTTGATATCTCCAGAATGTTGGACAATAAATCAGTCTCTTTTATTTAAACATAATAAATCAGACTTTTAAAGCTTATTTACATTTTGGACCCATCATATCCTCGTCATCATCTGCTGAGCTCTTCCAGAGACCTCGTGTCCTCGTTCTTCTCAACACCGAGTCAGATTTAATCTCATGAATTTCTGGTTCCGTGTTTTCAAGAAGAAAATCTACATAATGTACATGTTTTTATTCATTTTCGTTAATATGAATGCGTCTGAAGTGGTGATGCATGAGGTTGACTTTAGGAAGGCCACAGCGGGTTTGTTCTGATCCATCCCTTGCTGTAGTAATCCCTTTAATAGTCCGGGATCAAAGCTGCTGCTTTGTATCATTCATCTGAAAGATAGAGATTATATCATAAATCCAGAGGAAAGTATATGGTTTACCAGAAAAAATAAACAAATGTAGCCAAGATGGTAGATAAAAATGTGTCTCAGGTAAAACATTTAGGGTTTTATACAGGTTTATTAAGAAATTATATAGTTCTTAGACCAGAAGTTTGCACGTTTATGTTGCATTGTTTTTTTTTCTTCAACTTTTAATTAAGTATTAGGCAAATGGAAAACAACAAGAAAATAACAGACTGTTTATTTTTTAGGGATGTATTTTGGTGAAATTCTGGCGATATGATACATATCACGATACAGGGGAGACGATACGAAATATTGTGATACATTCAGCCAGACGATATTAGCGATTTTTTTAGCCTGAATTTTTATAGGAAAATTCAGTAAACAGTCCAAATTGATACTTAACATGTTTAACATGAGGTATCTGAACCATAATAGAGGGATTCACATTTCAATGGTTGAAACAAAACCCAATGCACACTGCTGCCAACTAGCAGTTGATGTTTGAATTGCACCAAAGAAATGAAAATACGCAAATGTTTGTAAATTCTTCCAAAAATTAGATACACAGCATTTGAATATCGATATAATATCACAGGGGAAAAAATCACGATATCGATATTTTTGAAATGACGGCGGTCAGTTCAGCAGAGGCGTCAAACATTGCATGCATGGATGTATTGGATGGTAGTGAGGATGACCTCCTGGGAGGATTTGGCAGGTGTAGCGATCTGATGGTACACCAGGACTGCAGCAGCATGAGAGTGAGTGAGTAGAGCGAGGCAGAGGGCATCTGAATAAAAGCCTCATTTGTCTTTTGATGTCACATGTCAGCAAAGTTCTGATAGTTTGCATTAAAATAGTATTTTTGCTTAGTATTTGTTCTGTACGCATAGTGAGGGTCTGCTGGGAACGCCTGGCAGAAGAACCTGTTAAGACGGTCTTCAACTCCCACTTCCAGCAGAGCTTTGACCGCATCCCGAGAGCAGTGGGGGATATTGACTCCGAGTGGGCCTTGTTCCACTCTGCAATTGTTGAGGAGGCTGTTGCTAGCTGTGGTCGTAAGGTGGCCAGTGCCAGTCGTAGTGGCAACCCCCGTACCCGCTGGTGGACACCAGAGGTTCGGGGAGCCGTCAGGCTGAAGAAGGAGGCCTACAGGGCTTGGCTTGAAAGCAGACAGGTACCGGATAGCCAAGCGGGGTGAAGCAGTGGCAGTTGCCGAGGCAAAATCTTGGGCGTGGGAGGAGTTTGGTGAGGCCATGGAGAAAGACTATCAATCGGCTCCAAAGAGGTTCTGGCAAACTGTCCGGCGCCTCAGGAGAGGAAGGCAGCAACTCACTCGCACTGTTTACAGTGGGGATGGGGAGCTGCTGACGTCAACTGGGGCTATAGTCAGACGGTGGAAGGAATACTTTGAGGAGCTCCTCATTCCCACCTACGCGCATTCCGAGGAGGAACCAGAGCCGGGAGACCTGGGGATGGACTGTCCAATCTCGGGGGCAGAAGTTGCTGAGGTAATCAGACAACTACACAGCGGCGGAGCCCCGGGGGCGGATGAGGTTCGTCCTGGGTATTTCAAGGTTATGGATGTTGTAGGGCTGTCATGGTTGACACGTCTCTGCAACATTGCGTGGTCATCGGGGGCAGTTCCTAGGGAGTGGCAGACCGGGGTGGTGGTCCCCATCTTTAAGAAGGGTGACCTGAGGGTGTGTTCGAACTATAGGGGGATCACACTCCTCAGCCTCCCTGGGAAGGTCTACTCCAAGGTACTGGAGAGGAGGGTCCGATCGATAGTTCAATCTCAGATTGAGGAGGAGCAATGTGGTTTTTGTCCTGGCCGTGGAACTGTGGACCAGCTCTATACCCTTGCAAGGGTGATGGAGGGGGCATGGGAGTTTGCCTAACCAATCCACATGTGTTTTGTGGATTTGGAGAAGGCTTATGACCGTGTCCACAGGGGCACCCTGTGGGGGACGCTCCAGGAGTATGGGGTGGGTGGCTTTCTGTTAAGGGCCATTCAGTCCCTTTACCAGAGGAGCGTGAGTTTGGTCCGCATAGCCGGTAGTAAGTCGGACCTGTTCCCGGTGAGGGTTGGACTCCACCAGAGCTGCCCTTTGTCACCGGTTCTGTTCATTACCTTTATGGACAGAATTTCTAGGCACAGCCGTGGTGTGGAGTGTGTCGAGTTTGGTGGCAGGAGAATCTTGTCTCTACTTTTTGCAGATGATGTGGTCCTCCTAGCTTCATCCAGCTCTGACCTTCAACTCTTGCTGGGTAGGTTCGCGGCCGAGTGTGAAGCGGCTGGGATGAGGATCAGCACCTCCACATCTGAGACCATGGTGCTTGCCAACTCCGGGTCGGGGGAGAGGTCCTACCTCAAGTGGAGGAGTTTAAGTATCTCGGGGTCTTGTTCACGAGTGAGGGTAGGAGGGATCCGGAGATCGACAGGCGGATTGGTTCAGCATCTGCAATGATGCAGACGCTGACCAGATCTGTAGTGGCGAAGAGGGAGCTGAGCCAGAAAGCCAGGCTCTCGATTTACCGGTCGATCTACGTCCCAATCCTCACCTATGGTCATGAGCTTTGGGTAATGACCGAAAGAACGAGATCGCGGATACAAGCGGCCGAAATGAGTTTCCTCCGTAGGGTGGCCGGGCTCAGCCTTAGAGATAGGGTGAGGAGCTCGGACATTCGGGAGGGACTCGGAGTAGAACCGCTGCTCCTCCGGATCGAAAGGAGCCAGTTGAGGTGGTTTGGGCATCTGATCAGGTTGCCTCCTGGACGCCTCCCCGGGGAGGTGTTTCGGGCATGTCCTGCTGGCAGGAGTCCCCCGGGTCGACCCAGGACACGTTGGAGAGGTTACATCTCCAATCTGGTCCGGGAACGCCTTGGGATCCTGCCGGAGGAGCTGGTAGAGGTGGCCGGGGAGAGGATGGTCTGGAGCTCCCTAGTTGGGATGCTGCCCCCGTGACCCGGACCCGGATAAGCAGAGGAAGACGACGACGGCGAGTATTTGTTCTTAAATTTTCAATAAAAATTGTTTATTTAAAAAGTGATTTTTTTTTGTCTTTTCCTGGTGATTAGTCTTGGAAGGGGGTCATCTTATAATTGGGTCAATACGGTATTTCCAGTCCAGTTTACGCAGCATGCTGTTTAAACTATTTCTAATTATTTTCGTGAAACTTGAGCAATTTTAGCTAAATCTGGTGGTGAGAAGTTCAGAAGTTTTAAAAGCAATGCTTATTAAACTACTGATGTGTCCAACTTCTTTTAAAATACAGAATTCACACAATCACATTAACTTTTTATAATTGGTTTCTTTTCATTTTAAAATAATCAATGCATTCTGAAAAGGATTTGAAAAGAAAACCTGCTAAATCCTTCTATTCTTGTGTCACTGCTGTTTTTCATATGATGATAAAATATTTGTATAATTCCTGCAAAAATCATTTCAGACAAATAAATGGTCAACAAAGTTCCACATTAACATTTCACGTAATTGATAGTTGACCTAAATGTACAAATCTATAAGAATCTGTACGGGTAGCTTGCTAAGCAAATGACACAATGTAGCTAATTTTTGTCCTTGTTTTCGCACTAAATGAATAAATAAAGGTTTTATTGAAACTAGATTATTTTTCTCTAAAATCACTAGCTGTGAGTTATTTGAATCGGGGTTGTGTTTTATCTTTTTGTGCAATAATAAAAAAAAGTCCTTCTCCCTTTGATCCTTGTTAGGTCGTGTGATGCACGTTTCTTATTTAGTTATATATTGCTGTAATGTCCTCTAAAGTGTTTTTTAGTACCCACGTGTGCCACCAGCAGGTTTTTTGTGATGTGAAAGAGCTCATGGGACTTGTTCCTGTGTTCTTCACCTTCAGGAAGGAGTGGAGGTGAGAGTGGCGAGGATCTTCAACACGTTTGGCTCCAGGATGCACATGAACGACGGACGCGTCGTCAGTAATTTCATCCTCCAGGCTCTTCAAGGAGAACCTCTCACAGTACGTGTTTGGAGATTCTCCTTTCACGGAGGTTCTGTCCGAGACACTATTTATTCTGTTCTTGTTCTTTTAGGTATATGGTACTGGTTCCCAGACTAGAGCTTTCCAGTATGTAAGGTAAGCAGAAAAATGCTGATCTACTATTAAATACTTTGGTGTGTTTAAATGAGATATTTAGAGGAATATTCTTTATTCTCAGGTTGTAAAAATGCCCTTTAGGTCTCACTCTTGGATATCTGCTCTTTTCACGTTCAGATAGTAGTTATCAGTGTGTTTGGAGATGATACTGAGATGCATTTCAGCCCGACTGAGATCAGAGAAAGACTGTATTTGAAGTTCTTCTATCTCATTAAACCGTGTACCTGCTGCCCTATGAGGTGTTAATGTATGTAAATAGTAAAACCTTTGATGCCTTTGAGGTAAACTCATTTCATTCCTTCCACTTATTTTACCCATCAGAAAAGTCATGTCAAACAAATAATATGAACATTTAATTTCAGACCTGAGGAAGAAGGAATGTTCTTTTTCATATTTAGGTTCTCATTATGGACTTCCTGGTGTCCTGTAATTATTTCTGACATATGAGGAACTGTCTCTCATTTCCTGTAATTGTGGTTAGTTGGTAATCATGGCCACGTAGTGCTGGAGCAGGCCGTTTTGTCAGAAAACATCTACTAAAGTCCACTAAACACTAAGCAGTTTTTAACACTTTAAACTATCCCTTCAAAAGTTGGTTTGAGTGACTGTGAGTATAAACTTTACCATCTTCACCCTGAACACCCCTCTGCAGCCTTCTGCTGACCAGAAAATACAATTATCAGCTTTGTGAAGCACGTAGGTTCCCTATAGGGGGAGCTCTTTACCTGCTTTACAACTTTTGTGCTAGCAGTTAGCATTTCTGCTTAGCCAATCATCAATTAAAACCACAAGAAGAAGAAAGGAAGAAGTTTGCTTTTTTGTTGGTATCATGGCGGAGCTTGGAAGTAAGAGTAAAGTCCTTGGAGGCGATGCAAAAAGGTAAAACCAGAGTGAACATCGGCGCAGCCTACGCTAGTTTTAATAAGCTAAAGAAGGCTGCAAAATCACGGGCTGATGGTGACCTGGCTTTGTTGCTACTGGACTAAAAAAGTAATAATATTTTTAGTCCAAAAGTGTGGATCCTTTTGCTTTGTGGTTTGTTTTAGTATGAGTTGGCTCATGTTAGTGTTAGCTTGTTGTTAGCATTAGCTACAGCAGGCTGCTGCATGGTTGTTTACCACGGTTGTAAGTCCACATTCAACCAGTAGAGCAGAGGAGCTGGAAGCTGCTTTTTGTTACTTTAAGAGACTTGTGACTAGACTCAAAGAACATGCAGAAGACTTGCACTTGGACTTGGATTCCGATGTTTTAGAATGTGATGGTTTGACGTATCCGACGTGTCCTGAGAGAGTTTACATGTAACTTGTGTTTGTCCTCACTCAGGATAGAAAAGCAGGGGCAGATGTACGATTTGTAGGAGGCTAACGGAAGATGAGACAGTAAATGATCAACATGTCACCTGTAATTATCTGAAGCAATTAAAATGATTAAATCCATCCAGTAATCTGACTTAAAATAATAAGCTAACATTAGGATCAGCTACATGCTAATTCCAACAATAGCATTTCATTTTTTGGATGCAAACAACAAGTGGTGGGTGAAATTAGACGTTGGACTAGCAGATTGTTTTTGAGACTTGGACTCACTTGGCTTAAACTAGTCCTATGTGACTCAGACTTGATTTGGAGTAATCCTGTGTACTTGGACTCGAGTGTGACTTGACTCCAACACCGGGCGAACAAATACATTCTTAGTATTGTCACGCACGAAGCTCTCAGCGTGACTCACGCATCTCATCAGTCTTTTATCCCAACATTTAGATCCAGAAAAATCAGCATTTCTCATCAGCCTAATGTGAATTCTTAATAAATGTTTATTTATTTTCTTACTCCTAAAAGTTTCAGCACTTAAAGTCGAGGACAAACAGACCTGATTCTGGCTCCTCCGTTCAAACTGCTCCTATTTCCTAACTGCAGCTTTTGAATCGTGTCAGACGTTGATTGTGCATCATTGATTTGGACCCCAGAGATACAGAATACACAGAAAATGAGGCTATTCACATTTTTTCCCCAAGGCATTGAAGACGTAAAGCATCTCCTGGCAGCGGTACGTGGCCCTAACATTTTCTCTGGAGCTTTTCTGCATCCGTTGATCAGAAGTGATGCAGCTGTCAGAGAGAAGAAGCGTTGACCAAGGAGCACCAAAATAATCCCTTTGCTCTGAAAGCAGCCTCCACTCTCACTAACGTTAACCCTTTATGAAGAGCAGGTTTCAGTCTCACTGCGCTGCTTTTTGTTTTACTTTCTATTCTTTTTAGAATTGACAGAATTGTGATGAAGAGCTCTGTCCTTCACTAATCTCTTAAGAATAAATTAGTGTTGCACAACTGAATTAATATAAACTCCAGGCGGTTGGACTCGTTCTATGATGCAAACATCAAGGTCAAGAATTCTTATAGTTTTCAGATTTTTTCAGCACCGGTGTCTGTTTTTAATTGTTCCCAGAGAGGACTGGGTATGTCGTATTTGACTGATTAGAGGGAAATTACTCTTTTATGGATGCTGTTGCCACTTTTCAGGCAGCCACTCTTAGGAGAATTTCTTGTTACTGAACAGAATGGCAAGAATCTGTCCAGACCAGAGAAATAAACCAGACAGGGACTTTAATATTTCACATAAACAGTCTCTCATCATGTTAAACTTTCACTTTCCTTTCTGTGTCGGATAAACTCCAATGGCTGTGCCAGTAAAATTTACTCAAACTTCTTTTCTATAGAAAATTTTAGATGTTTTTGTCGAAATTTAACACTTGTCACAGAATTTCTAAAATATCTTTTGGTTTTTTAACATTTTAGTTTTAATGATTAAATGTCCTCCTTGTTTTGCAGTGATTTAGTGAACGGCCTTGTGTTGTTGATGAACAGCAACATCAGCAGTCCGGTCAATCTGGTGAGTTCATGAAGCTCAGCTGTGAAGAAAAGGGCTTCTGCAGTTCTGGGAGCCTGGTGCTGCTTTCTGCTGGTTTAATGGAGGTTAATGATGTGTTGCAGGGAAACCCAGAGGAACACACCATACTGGAGTTTGCTCGCCTCATCAAAAGTTTAGTCGGTAAGGGCTGTGCGATGTTTTAATGAAATCTTTCTGTACACAGTCTGTTTAATACATCAAACTTTGGCCCTGATGAACTTTTCTCACACACACACACACACGCACGCACGCACGCACGCACGCACGCACACACACACACACACACACACACACACACACACACACACACACACACACAGTGAGTCAAAGCCAGATCCAGTTCCTGTCGGAAGCCCAGGACGATCCCCAGAGGAGAAGACCCGACATCCGAAAAGCCAGGATGATGCTGGGCTGGGAACCGGTGGTATGTGTGAAGTTTGACCCTCAGCTGTAAGGATCTGAGCTGCTCGGTCCATCTGCTGCAGTTCCATTATGAATATAGAACGTGTTTAGGAGCTTTTAGGTGGCAAAAATACTGTTTGTAAAGTTCCTATGACCAAAAGTATAAAATAACGCTGTCACCAACCGAATAATAACGATAATAATGAGGGATGTTTAAAATCTGATATATCAATACTGTCTAACTTCTACTTTCCAACACTGATTGAAACTGATAAGCGGGGCTCCTAATAAAAAAGACAAACAAAATCATTTTAAATAACAAACATCACACATCTGCCCAGCTGTTTCAGTTTAAGGTGGACTAGTTTTGCCAAACACAAAAATATCTTAAAAAGTGCTTCAGATCAGTCAGATTTTAACATTTTGAGTGAGAGGACATAGCTGCAGCGTGTGATGTATGATACGTGCATAATGTCTGATCCTACATGTCATAGCTAACATCGCTGATATCTGACAGCCCCAATAATAATAATACATTTATGTCAAATGCCTTTTACGTAAAAAGCTACAGGTGATGTTTGAAAAAAGAAAAACAACTAAGAATTCATAAAAACAAGCAGTTAAAAATTAGATTAAAACCATAAAATGAAAACAAAAAGGTCATCCTAGAAAAGTGTTTTTAAACGTTGAAGAGGATCGTTTACTCACGACGGCTGTGGTGTTACCGGGTAAAGTTGTGTTTTTGTGCCTTGTGTGGACAGGTGCCGCTGGAGGAAGGCTTAAACAAAACCATCCAGTACTTCAGCAGAGAGCTGGAGCACCAGGCCAACAACCAGTACATCCCCAAACCCAAAGCCGCGCGCATGAAGAAAGGCCGACCCAGACACAACTGAGTCCTGCCTCTCTGCTGCACCCCTCCCTCCAAAAACCAAGACACTCCATGAAGAGCACCTCTTCGGAGCGTCCTGCTGAACGATGCACTTTTGGGGAACTTTTTTGATCTGCTAAACAAAGACAGAGGCGGACACGTCTGCGCTGCCTTGTGTTGTGGCGTGGCCTATCTAACTGGAGAATGGACGAGCCTGAATCAAAGAGGCAGCTAATCCCAGTGAAATCCTGCCTATGGTTTTATTTGATTTTCCTGTGCTTTTATTATTTAATGCATCGACACAGAGTCATCTCAGACCTGCGTCTGTTTGACCTGTTCTACGGCGTTTGGTGTGTGGAGCTGAGCTGCCTCGGTTTTGTTTTTCCGCTGGATGTCGTGTCGCTCCATCAGTGGCTTCCTGCAGCGCACAGCAGGTTTTAGAAGGACTGTTACAACATAATTATTCATTTTAAAGACACGGTGTTTGTGAAATGTCAACGTGGGGCTGTTATATTGATGTGAAAATGATATTTTATTAAAATATTTCCAATTATTCAAGTTTGGCATTACCAGCAAATTTATGTTTCTATTTTTAGTTTAAAAAATGATAAAAAGAAGAGAAAATCACATTAATTTCTGATTTAAAAATGTCATTTAATTAGTTCAAATGAGAATAGACACAGCCAGAGGGGGTTCACACTCGTGGGCGTAGTCCAGATGAAAAGAAAACGATCACATTGCATTACTTTGCAAGTCAGTTTAATTTCCTCCAGAGTGATGGCAACACACTGTGTGTGTGTGTGTGTGTGTGTGTGTGTAACAGGTGTTAATAATAGTCGTAGTTGACATTTGCTCCGTGTCTGTAAGATGCGGTGTCACGTGGGCCCATGGGGGAGTTTTCATCATAGTGATGCTGGCGCCCTTGGTCATTGGAGCGTGCATGATCCATCCAGTACTGCAGATCAGCCTCCAACCTCTGGAGAAGGACAACAAAACATCACACACACACATCAGAAGTCTTCCAAAGCTAACAGACAACGCAGCAGCTGATAAGATGTCCTCCAACACTGGCAAACGGCTCAGCTGCACCTGATAGACGTGCATGAAAGCCCGGCGCTGAAAAGGCCAGGTCTTTGACAGATTTGGCCTTTTAAGGAAGCAACAGTTAAATGGCACAAGGTGTCACGTATGATGTAGAAATTCTGCTGTGAGATGAGCTGTCAGCTGTTAGCAACAGAGACAGGAGGAGGTTTTAGTCTCCAGTGAGTTAATGACAGTCGGTGACCTGAATAACAACTGTATCTCTTGGTGAATTTAGTGTGTGTGCGTGTGTGTGTGTGTGTGTGTGTGTTTAGGAGGAAGTTGTGTTTTCGTTTGCTTCGGTTTAAAACTATTATTCATCCACTTCAGTTGCGTTTTGGGGATAAAGCTTCCTTTAGAAGAGCAGAATTATGTGGACTCCACTTTTTGTTATTTTGTACTTTAGAGGTAAACGTTCAGAATCTTGTGTTTTAAAGCAGTTTTAGTTTTTCTCTTTAACCAACAGAAATCTTTTAAACAAAGCAGCAGTCACTGGAGGTTTCACAGAAACAGATAAGTCTTTTTGTATTTCTTATTCCGTAAACATAACATTTGAGCTTTTATTGACAGAACAGGAACTCTGGGACTTTTTTGATCTGCTCAGAACTTTTAAAGAGCGAGTCACCCCCTACCAGATTCTTACTCAACTCCCACTTCCTGTTTGAAAAATGCAACAAATGCTGTTGCCTAGCAGACCGAGAGGGCAGAGCCGCTAACAAATACACACACTCACAACATTGTGACATCATAATGTACCATCTAACATCATAGTGTACCTCTTAGCCAATAGTGATGGCAGATTTAAATTTGAATGCAGTGCAGAGTTTTTGCCTGACGACGGTGCATCGCTGACAGTTTTAGGCAGAATTTTTTAATTTTAACTAAGAAGCACTAAAATGCCGAATTATTGACTACATTTGTCTACAGCACGATCAGACACTAATTTATATAGTTTATCAGCAAAAAAAATGTTGATTTGGAGTGACTTGCTCTTTAAGTATTGAGATGTGAACGCCAGAGCTTAGAAACCACACCCACCTGCTCATCAAATCCCATTTGCATAAACTGCATGATCCACTGCTGGACGTCGGGTCTGCTGCGATCCCAAACGTTCCTCCTGTTTCTGCTCAGCTTTGCCAGGAATTCTTGGGCCTTGGATGACGGGATGGCAACGGAAGACTTTGACGGGGCGTTACTGGTTTCTGCTACTGGGAGGAAAGCGTTAACCAGTAGAGAACAATGATAAACGCACCTGAAAGTCATTTTTAAAGATAATTTTTTTACCATCTCTTTTCCTTAAGATCTTGAGTAAGTTACTGTCACTGGATACATCTGTGAAAAGAGATGAAATGATCTTCAATTTAAAGGAGTTTTTAAGTTTGTTAGATTATAAAAGTGTTCACTTTAGCGTTATATCAGAGGGTTTAGAGGTTAGAAGATAAGAGTTTGTCAAGTTGGTGTGGATCACAGCCATTGCTGCTTTTACATCCAAGGATGAATGATATGGCACCTCCACAGAGCACTAACAAGATGCCTCATACTTGGCTGCTCTACGGCAGCGTAGTCAGAAATGTTCAGATATTCCCAGAAACACGGAGCTGTGTGCTGCTGAATAATTTGGGAGAATTACTGATCTCATTAAATCTTAAAACACAAAAAAGAAAAAGGAGTGGAAGTCCTCTGATGAAGAAACTTTTCATTTGGGGTTGTCATTACTGTAGTATAATGAGTCCAGAGTGATGTTTTTATATGGGATGGATCCATCCTTCCTACAGGGAAATCTGACAGGATCTGTAAGTAAGTTTTATTTATATTGCACTCATCACAGACGTAGAATCACGAAGTGCTTCACATAGATCAAAACAATAAAACTAAGAAAATCATAATGATCTCGAAATAGAAATAGATTAACATCACAAAAAAATTAAGTTATAAAATACAAAACTTTCACAAACAGATGAAAGATTAAACATTTTAGTTAAAAATAAAAAAAGGTTTAGGGAAAAGCAGCTCTAAATAAAAGGGTCTTTAGCTGCTTTTAAAAGTGTCCAGACTGTCAATGCTGCGTAAGGATAAAGTCAGGGTGCAACAGTCTGGAAGGAGCGATCACCTCGACTTTTATATCTGGTCTTTGGAACTTCTAGAAGGTTCTGGTGGGTGGACCTGAGGGCTTTATATTCTTTTTTTTTTTTTTTTGTGAAGCGCCTCGTGATTTTTATCTTGAGAGGCGCTGTAGAAAAGATCTTCTCGGGTTGGAGCATAAGGCTTTAACAGTTCAGTAATATAAAGAGGAGCTTGACCATGTAGAGCCCTGAAAGTTATAGTCAGGATTCTAAAATGAACTCTAAAGTTAACGGGTAACCAGTGCAGAGATATTAGAATAGGAGTGATGTGAGCTGTTCTGTTTGCTCCAGTTAGGAGCCTTGCTGCAGAGTTCTGGACCAACTGAAGGCGGCCAAGGGCTTTTTTGTTAAAACATGTGAACAGTGTGTTACAGTAATCTAGACCGGAGGAGATAAAGGCATGGATGACCATTTCAAGTTCATGTTTTGACACCAACCTTCGCAGTTTGGAGGTATTAAGTAATAAAAACAGTTTCAGACCAACGTTTTTGAGTGGCCTTCAAGAGACATTGATTGGTAAAAAACAACACCCAAATTCCTAAAGTTTGTCTTGACAGCGAGGATAAATGACCAAGTTTTGGACTAATCAGGGGAACCTCTCAGGGGCAATGATCAGACATTCAGTCTTTTCAGAGTTTAACTGAAGGAAATTATCTTCTAGCCAGCTGGTGATTGCTGATAGACACTCTAGTAATTCAGACAGTTCATAAATGATAAATGACCCGCACTAGTATAGCTCCTCTCAGAGTAAGGACACAGTGTATCATTCATCCATTCACACACACATTCACACACTGGTGGGGATAAGCTACGGTGTAGCCACAGCTGCCCGTGGCTCACTGACAGAGGCAAGGCTACCGAGCACAGGCGCCACCGGTCCCTCTGACCACCACCAGCAGTTGGAGGGACCTACTTATAGAAGTAGTGATGGTAGAAATCTGTGATCTTGAGAGGTTTGAAAGCTTTTACAGCTTTCTATTTTTTCTACCTTTGGGAGCATTTCCCGCCAAATCAAACCAACTCCTGGTGTGACGGCACATTTTTCTGAACAACCCCACTCTGGAGGGAGTCATTAGCATGTTAGAAAGCTAGTTGGATAGCAAAAGTGGGTAAATCCACTGAAATCTAAAAGTTTGGAAGTTCATATTTAAAACTCGTGTTTTTGAGCCACGCAGCAACATGAGCTTCTGTTCAGATTGATGTGTTTGATGTATTGACTCGGCATTTTCCTCGTGCGTTTTATATCGATCGCCTTTAGGAGTGAAACGGTGCAGGTGAGCATCTTTCCATTTATCCTGTTGTTTGACTCCCAGATATCCCGCTGCCGAGCGTCCCGCTCACACAGACACACTTGCAGGTAATGCACACATTCTCAGAATAATTAAGAAAATCAGAATCTGCAAACTTTAAAAAAAAATCTCAACCTTTCTGCATCATCAGCTATTAGCATTACTCTCAAACTATAATAAGTCTCAGTTGGGATTTGGGGCCAATTAGTTTTGGCTCGTGGCTCTGACTGCATGAACCTCTCCGTCTCCACTCTTTTTAAGCCTTTTCATTTTTAATCATATTTTTAAAAAGTCCAACTTTTCTGCAGACATACAATGAATTCACTCAGTTTTGAAAGATTTGACAACATTTCTAGAACAGTTGAGTAGAAAAGACTTTAAAGAGATTTAAATGAGAGCCCTAAATTCATCCCTGCATGATCCCAGTGAGGAGGGGATTTCTAGGAATGTTTTTTTCCCCATTAAATTCATTGAGCCGTCCGAGGTACATAAAAAGAAAAATACCGTGTCACCAATGCAGTGTGACTTATCTGCAAGTTCTTTATAAAAAAAATCATTCATGCTAACCAGTCAGAGGTTTGTTGAAGGTAAAAACATGCTTCAGAGGCTTTAGGTGTGCTTTGTAGGCTGTCAGGCCTGAACTCGTCCCGCGGGGACACACAAAGCCCTTTGCTGCTTAGAAACATTTCTGATGTGCTAATTTTTTCTAAGTCCAGACATGTCAGATCATCTGAAGTCAAAGCTAAACTCTTAAAGCAGCTTTTAGAACTGAAGATGTGGAACAACGTTCCAGAACACACGTCATCCTTAATTAAAGCAAAACTTTTCCATTAGCAGACGTGAGAAGAGAAACCTCCAGAGAGAGGAAATAATGCCAGGCTAGATTGTGATTTAGACACAAAAGTGGAGAAATTAAGAGAAAATTTGGAAAAATAACCAAAAATAAAACAAAAGCATTTCTTACCTCTGAGAGCTGTTAGAGTCAGCAGCACAGCCAGCCCTATTACCTTCAAACACAGCTTCTGGGATGCCATGTTGTCCTCTCTTAGTCCCTAAAAGTCTCCTTAAAGACAACAACTGAGCTCCGACTGCCACGAGACCACAGGGAAGGGTGGGAGGGAACCCAGACTTTCCAAGTGGAAACTGGCCCGTGGCTGTGGAATGCCTTTCACCTCCCTGCCTCCAGAAACAAGCCTACAACTCAGGAGCTTCTTCCCTCTCGCAGGAATTCTGCTATTTTAATAGATGAACTACAAAAATGTTATTTTTTTTTAAGTTTTATCAGAACTTAATACTTGTGAGTGTCTTAAAAATGCTCAAACATGTATTTGTGCTAAAACTATGTGAAGATGAAGGAAGTTCAGAGGAACAACCTGCTGATTGGCCTGCTCCTGCTTCTCTCTGTGGAAACATGATCCACTCGGTTCTAAATGTGCCAAAACATGAATTATGAACATATAACTTTTGAGTTAATTCAAGAAACCATGACTGATGGATGAGATCCTTCAGAATTCATAAAGTTTTTTTTTTTTTGCATGCATGCTGCAGAAGTTCAGTAACTAGAGGGATTGTGAACGTGTTCATTACAGTTTAGATCAGAATGCTGGTGCAGACTGAGAATAAGTAGAGCCCCAAAAGTGTTTCCAGATGACAATCTTTTAAGAAGATTTTAGCGTTACGTTCTCACAAAAAATAATTAGATAATTGAGTGATTTTTATCATTTCAACTGATTTCATATAGTTTTCTGTCTGCATGCGTGAAACCCACACAAAAGCCTTAATAAATAGTAAAATAACCGATAAAAGATATTTGCATTATTCATAAAAAGAATGGTGATTATTTCACATTACAATTAAAACAACTTTTTGTTTTGAAACAACTGCAAAGTAAAATTAAAGCAATCAAAACATATCACATAATATAAGATATGCATAATGCCTTTTTTTTCTATTTCCTGCTTTGATGCAGGAAAACTAGGCTGCATGTTGCCAGCAGATGGTCACCAGATGGTCAAAGTTACTCTGAAAAGGAGGAAGAAACAGGAATTTACTCACGAACACTAAAAAAGCACTTGGAGTTAAAAATCTAACAAACAAACAAACGTGAGAATTCCATAGAAGAAAATATTAAAATGCCTGAAAGTGTCCTCTGTTTATTCAGTAAGTAAATAAGAATTTATGCAAACAAATAAATTCAGCCCAAAAAGCTTTAATCCTCATCAAACTGGCAGCAGATAATCTCTAGAAGGTTTATCTTTAGCTGGAGTTTAGATTAATGTTTTTGTAGATATACCTTAAACACCTATCAAAAAAGTTACTGGAAACCAGGGAAATCCAGCTAGTAGGTGACAAATTCAGATTCATGTTTGAATTAGGATTATTTAATCCAGAGCTTTCCTTATTCTTGACAGTTTCGGCACCTTCCAGAATGAGTCATCTTAGCGCTCTGTCACTGTAAGACAACAAACTTGCGCTGGCCACGCCCACTCCTTCCTCTCACAGGCTGCTATAAGCTGAGAAACTCAATATCTGGGGAGGTATTCAGAGTAGAGCCGCTGCTCCTCTGGCAGCAGCTTTCTGTTGCTTGTGAGAGATGGTTTTGTGCAAAATTTCCCATTTGTGACATCATAATCAGAGACTTTTTGAAACGGCATGTTTTAGGCACATGACTCCTAAAACTAAACACTGACAGAAAATTGATAGATGGGTTTTTTCCACATTTGGATTGTTTAGAGAAGCAGTAGAGACCTACGGAAGCACATAAGCATGCAAAAGGTGAATTGTGCATAACATGTCCCTTTTAAACCCACATTAAATTTCATAAATGTCTTTCAATCAACACAGACCTGCATGCTGTTTTATAATAGGAAAAACATAATGAGAATATGAAGGTTTGATTTGCTGCAAAATCATTAGCATTTAGCATTTAGCTAACCAATAATTTGTAGCTAGAGACCCAAATGTGACACTTTGGCACCAAGCCAAACATAAATACGAGTTTATTTCAGGTCAGCTTCAACTTGGCTAGAGTGTGCGGTACATTAGAGGTGTTAGTCAGGCTGCAGCAGAGGTGTGGAGCTAAAAACAAAGTGTCTGTTTGTCTCGGGGGTCGAGCTGCAACGCAGAAACCAGCAGCAGACTTTACTGCTTTCATGGTGGCTTTGGAAAAGGAGTCACACCTAACAAACAGAGGGGAGGGAAAGGCAGATGGAATAAAAATAAACCTGGTGTTCTTTCATGTGCAAAGGCTCCATGTCCTTGGTCGCATGTCTCAAAACAATGATGTCAAACTAAAAGAAATAAAATCCAAGAGAAATCAGATGTTTGAAATCCTGAGAACCTCCTATGGATTCATGTTTCTCTCAGTTCCTCTCATACTGGAGCAGGAGGGGAGAGTGAAAGAGGAAAAAACTCATAAAGAACTGAAACAACACCACAGGAAGAGTTTTAAAGCCTCTAAAGCTTCATGTGTTTTGATCTAATCCATCCAAATGTACATTTTTGAAGGGAAATAAACACCACAGTGTTTGGTTAGAAGCGAGCAAAGACTCCATTCAAGTGTAGATATGTTTTAAAATTTGCCCACTAATCCGTGAAATGAGCATTTCTGCTTTGGTGGACAAAGTGGAAGAGGTTCTCCTCTCATGCGCTGTACGCCCAAGTGTTAGATGTCCTTAGAATCAGAACATCAGAACATCAGAAGGCTAGAAAATGATTTCCATGTTGTTCCCAAACACATTTTTCTCCTCTCTCCCTCTCCGTGTTTTTGTTTCCATCCTTCATCCTCTTCTCGTCACACTCGACCTGACGATCAGTGTCGTGACCCGAGTCAGACTCCTCCACTAAAATCATCATGGTTAAAAAAAACTACTTCAAACTGAACTTGTTCTAATCTCTCAAAGACCATCTGAGCAGTAAAAGTTGTTTTCACACTGTAAATTGTCCATTGTTGAAAATAATTGATCAATAATTCACAGAAAATAAAAAAGATGTTTTTCTTGAGAGGCTTAGAGAACATTGTGTGTCTCACACTGACGGTCTCACGAGCAAAACACAAAATATTTGAGTGCAGCAGAAGAAAAGCTGCATGCTGGAGTCACTTTAGCAGGCTCATAGGTGGGTCCACACTCTCAGGTCCCAGTCAAGCATGTTTATGGAGAGGTCAGCAGCTGCAAGGAGCTTCCACTTTAAGGTGGCTGAGCTCCTCTGCATCTAAAGGTTTAGATGTTTAATTTTACCATCAGTGACGAACCCATCACCTCTTCATTCCTTTCGCCTTTCCTCCCTTCTCACCTTTAGGATAACCCAGCTAGCTGCTGATGCCAAAGGGAACCCAGAAGGTAGTCAGGCTTTGAATCTCAGCTTTAAGCTTGTTCCCCAACTATACTACAGAACTATACCATAGAAAATCCCTTCATTGTCCCTGAGTGGGGACATTTTGGGGTCACAGCAGCAACTACATTTACAACAGGAGCAAAGATGAATGTTGAAAATAAAGCATAAAGATTTGTTGAACATTTAAGAGTAAAAAGGCTTACGTCTCGGCCCGGCCGCTCCGGTCATCACAGGATCGTCGGCTAGCAGTGTCTACACCACACTCAGGACAATCCAGACTCTTCTCAAGCATCGTTCCACAAATGTGGAATGACCTTCCAAGCACTACCAGAACAGGAGCTTCCTTTTCAATTTTCAAGAAACTCCTGAAGACCCTGAGAGCATCTTCTTAACTAGCACCTTGCCTGCACCTGTCCTTCCTCTCTACTGTCCACTCCTTGTTCCCTCCTCTCCATGATTGATGTCAATGTCGTTGTTGTTATTGTTGTTGTTAGCCTCAAGGGCAATATGCCGATTATCACTTGTAAGTCGCTTTAGACAAAAGCGTCTGCTAAATACATAAACATAAACATAAAAATACAAGAAAACAACATAGAAATACTTCAATAATCTAAATGAGTAAAATATTAAAACAGTGTGGACTTATTTTAAAAACAAACTTCTGCAGGTCTTTCACCATCCTCCACTACAGTCATATCTATAGGAGGTGTGAATGTGCAGATAAAACATGCAGAAGAGAACTCAACACATTTGATGCTAATAAATATTCATTTTTTCCTGTTGTTACAAGATGAGCATTAAAAGAATCCATTAATAAAACACAAACTACACAGAGTTTAGTTTTTCACGCCTTTCATCTTTCTTTTTTCATTTGTAGAATAAACCGTTTCTGTTGTGAGCAGATGTGGCTTTCACATTTTCTCTTGATCTAACAGGATTTAAAGACGGTGAACTAAAATGAAACGTCACGTTTGAATCTATTGAAAAAGTCTCTTACTGCTGTTGCATACAGTCACAACCCTATAGGAGGTTTTTCAGTGACACCTACAGTAAGTGTCCCTTCATTAAAGTGAATGTGTGTATTATCACTGGTGATAGAGGCCAGTAGATACCTAAATCCCCCTCAGTCACTTCAGCAAAACGACAAGCACATCAGACTCCCTTTCATCACTGGCAAAGAGGAAACGCGTTAAAGTGTAAAGCCTGATTTATGCTTCTCCATCTGCGTCAGTGCGGAGACACGCAACGCCATTATCCGTCCTTGCGTAGGGCACGCAAGTACATACGGAGTCGAGCCCACTTTTTTAAACATCCGTCGAACGAGACGGATTACGCAAGCTTGTGATTGGTCAGGACGCCGCTGTTGTTTACAGCGCCGCCATTGCAAAGAGAGCCGAGTTTAACTAGCGGCAGACACGGAGAAGCTTGAAGAATACCTCGCGAAAAAACTCTAGAAATATGAATGTTTCATCCTCCCGTGACTGGAGGAGTGAAAAGATACGCAGCAAGCGTTTTATTTGTGGACGGAAATGACAGGAAACGTGGGTTTAGAGGTGGGGAGCGCATGAAGCGGTGGGAGAATGAGAGACAAATATGTCTGTGTTAAAAGTCTCTTATATACACAAAAAACACAATATAAACACACGATCTTGGACCGATACATGACAGGATACCACAGAACAGCGCTACGCCCTCTGGTGTCCTGCCGGGCAATTGCTTTGTAACACTCTCCAGGAGACGGAGAAGTAAAAGACCAAAACGCTTCCGTCAATCCGTGCGTGTGTGTCCCTTGCGGAGCTGAT